ATGACAGCCAAGTATCAACATGTATTTGAAGAAAGCCTCTAACATAAGGGATTGTCTAAAAATAGACAAACAGAAAAAAAGGAAATTGGGGCAATATATAATAGAGTAGAGGAGAACACTTAATATGCTATAATATTCTAATAAATAAGATATTATATCCATAAGATAAAAATAGCATGCTATGTAAAACAGTGAAAAGAAGAAATATCTCCTGGGAATGAAAATTGTGGCAGAAATCTTTTCTTAAATTCAGTAGAAGTTTTGGAAGATGAAGTCAAGAGAATCTCCCAGAAGTTAGAATCAAAAGATAACGAGATAGAAAATAGAAGAAAGTTAGATGAGAAATCCAATGGAGACAAAAACCAATGTCCAGGAGTTCCAAGAAGAGGAAATATTAAAATGTATGACATCAAAATATTTTAAAAAAATAATACAAGAAAAATTCCCCAAACTGAAGAAAACAAACCTCCAGATTGAAAAGGGCCCACTGAAAACCCAGCACAAAGCATGAAAAAAGGCCCATTCCAAGGTCTAACATTGTAAAATTTCAAAATGCCAGGGAAAAAAGAAATGATTATTAAAGCTTTCAGAAACAAAAAAAGCAAATCACAAGACCAAGTATTAGGAATCAGAATGACATAGGGCTTTTCAATTGTAATATTACAATCTTTAAGACAGTGGAGTAGCCCCTTAAAAATCCTGAGTAAAAATTAATTTCAACATAGATTTTTATACCTAGCCAAACTGTCGAGTGTATACATAGAAAAATGGCATTTTCAGGCATCCAGATACTTTTAAAAATGTATTATTCATATATTCTTTCTTATGAAAGTTACCCGGAGAACATACTTTAACTAAAAAAGGGAGTAAACTGAAAAACAGGATGACTTACCAGCCAGAAAACAGGAAGCTGTAATAGGATCAATGTCTAAGGCTTGACCCAAGACAGAAATCAATGTGTCCAGACATAGGCACCAAGAAGGATATATCTAGGGAGAAAATTTAAAAGGAACTGATCATTTGTCTGATGTGTTTTATTATTTGAAAAAAAAATTTTTTTGATGTGTATTTGATAGATCTGTTTGAACATTGGGGAAGAAATGTCAGTTACCTAAAAAAATAATCTGTTAAAAAGTAGGCAATTCCAGAAATAATAAAATCTTGTATAAAAAATTGGATCAAAATAATACTTGTTTCAGGAGTGAACAATAATTCTGTAATTATAATGTAAATGAACTACTGACTAATAATTTAACCAGAATTGTTAGATGGGAGGATGAGATAGGTTCTGTTGAGTGACCTAAATTGTTACTTTTTTACTATAGAAAGTCAGTAGCTAATGTCTAATATTGTAAAATCAAGAAATAGCATTATAAGTATGTCATATAAAATATGAAGATAAATATCAAAAGAGTGGATAGTGTGGGCCATTGAGGATAGGGCTTGGAGATGGGTGTGGGGTAGAGCATGGGCACTGCCCTTCTTTGTTATGAAATGTTGAGTACTATTTGACTTAAATTAGGTGAATTACCCTGATACAAAAAACTAATAAATAATAACAAAATTACATATGTCCATGATTAAGAAAAAAAAAAACTTCCTATGGTATAGAAGACTGTAAATGAACAGTAAAAAGTTTGTCTTTCTCCATATCCCATCCTTGCTATGATTCTCCTGAGAAAGCCACTTTTAACAGTTTCTCCTTTTAATGCTTACATTCATGACTTGAAGTATATCTTTTGGTAAAATGTAACGCTATCTGGACTTATGTTTGCCTGGTTAGCCAAAAGATGGCTGCATCAGACTGCATCGTAGACACTGCAGGTTAATAGAGTACTTAGGGAGTCATGTACCACGGGCCTCTGACTGTTGTTGGTCCTTCATCCCAGAACCACTATAAACAGCCAAGGAAGCAGTGCTGACCTAGTTGGGTGAGGCAAGGGGTTATCCTGCCAGTGGGAGCATGGCATTTCTGGCAAGAGATTCCTCTTCTAACTGTTGGAGTTGGTGCCATGGCAGATTTTCCTGACTCAGGGAGTAAGTGTTGAGCCCTAGTCCAGCTGGTTAGACTATTTGTTGATTTTGATGATTTGCACCAATAAGCTCTTTTTCTGGCACAGACAATCAGAAGCAGGCAGTAATTTTCCATCTTCCTAAGAAAAATGTTTTTTGCATTTTGCAACTATAATAAAGTTTTATTCAGTTTTCATCAAAATTCCCGGGGGAAAATTTATTGAATTAAGTCAAGAACTCTTCAGTCCTCAGTGTTAGCCGTATATCCTTCAGCAGGTCAATTTTTCTACTTACTGCTTTGCTGTTCTTGGAAGATCAATAGAGAAAACAATCAGCAATAATAGCACTAGCTGTGTTTTATTCAGCTCTTACTATATGCTGGACACTCTGATAAGTACTCAGCATCTCATTTAATCTTCCTGATAGCTTTGGGAGCTTGCTACAGCCACCTTCCTGTGTTAGACTGAAGAATCTAACAGTCGAGTGACTTGTCCAAGGTCACAGGGCTGGAAAGTGCCAGAGCTGTGTCTGAAACCCTGATTTGTGTTGACTCTGGGGCCCATGTGTGTTTTGTTTTGCTTTGTTTTTCAAGTTTTTATTTAAATTCCAGCTAGTTAACATATATGGTAAAATTGGTTTCAGGTGTAGAATTTAGTGATTCAGCACTTAGGTGTAACACCCAGTGCTCATCATCATAAGTGGGGCCCATGTTTTTCTTTCTGTGTTTGATTGGCTTTCAGTGCAACCTCTGACTTTTTGTTACATGAGAACAAGAAAGCAGCTGATTTATACTCAAAACCTAATTACCAATGGAAGCGTGCATGTCTTGTTATTGTCACATAGTGCTTATAAAAATTGTCACCTCTTTTCTCTTTAAAAAATTTGCAATTTTTATACATTTTCTATCATTTTTTTGTATCTTCTCAATTCAAAATTCTGGAGTTGTCTTTGATGTCTCCTTTTATGTCCTTGTATTCACCAACTTTATGTTCATTTGAAGTGTCTCTATTCTCACGTCTGGAATATTGCAACTCTCTTCATGGTCTCCCTTCCGCCAGTCTCTGCCACCTTAAACTGCTCATAAACAGGGCTCCGGTTGTTTTAAAGAAGAACTTCTCTCATATTGAATTGTTTAAACCATTAATATCTCTCCATTATCTATAAGCAAAATACAGCTTTATTCATCTGGAAGTCAAGACCTTTCACAATGCAGCCCCATCTGTCATTCGATGAGTTAATGTGCCCTTACCTCTTTCCACTTTTCTTGCCCATGCTAATATATCCCTAATCTGACCTATCGAAGCAGAGATTTTCTCTAATACTCACTTGTTTCTTATGTGTTTTGTGGTTTGATAGTTGTGTGTGTGTGTGTGTGTGTGTGTGTGTACGTCTCATTTACCTACCTGAATTGTTAACTCCTGAGCGTAGGGATGGAGGTTCTCTGAGCCCATCATAATACTCAGGGCGGTTTCTTGCATATAGCATTGTGTACAAAATTAATGAGTGAATTTTTGAAGTTTTAAAATCAAGATATATTTCCAATTCTATACATTTGCTTTTGTTAATTTCATGTTAGGCAAATAAAACTTAATAGACTTTGATGTTTTTCATATCTTGAATTGTATTAAATTATGGGATGAGAAATAAACTGGTATAACTTTATCAGTTTGAAATGTTTTACGGAAAGATCAGTTGCATTTAGTATTCTGATCTGAAAGATATAGAAAATCTACTCTGCATGAAAGTGATAGACTCGTTATTATATAGGTTTTTGAAGCTAAAAATATTTGAGAACTGTTGTAAGTTGTTTTATTAAATTGTGGATAATATACGATTTGATAGGCATAAGTAATATTTATAATGTAATAAAAGTAAAAAAAAAAACGAATCATTTAGTTTATCTTGCCTGATGTATTAAATGTAGTTAGAGAGTGCTCAGCATATTAATGACGTGAGGAAATTTGAAATGTTCTTAAATACTAAGTTTAAAACACTTTACTTAGACATGATTTTGTTTTCCAAAAGGAGATTGCGTTTTTGTGAATTAAAATTGCTTCTTGCTTTATGTTGAATCTGAAAATGTTTCTACCTTTTGCTTTCCCTTTTATTTGCTTTTCTGGTTTTAACAGTCTGAATATTTATCTCTTTTATTTTTTTAAAAAATTATAGATGTTCCATGATAAATATTTCTACTTTAGTGTATACATTATTTAAAACTGTGTTCCATATAAGGTATTTTTGCTTTGAAATATTTGAGTTGCAGTAAGAGAAGGATAATTTCATCCTGAGACCAAAGAATAAACTATCATAAATTTTCATATATTTTAGATGTTCATATTTATTAATCTTAGAGTGCTTTTGTTACCTTTTTTAGTGACATTTTAGTGCAATATTATTTTAGCTGAGAAATCTCATGTACTCTAAAGGCTTAAAGGTTCTCATGCCATATTTTTTCCTAAAATATCTTTTTCCCAAATAATGTTGAGCAGCAATAATGATGCCTTCTTTTATACCTCACATTTTTTAAAAGATATATTATTTTACCCTTTAATCTGGCTTTCAAAACATCCAAATGAAACCATAAATATACCTTTCAGAATATTCACATATTTGATGTAAATCACTACATGGATCTGATCTAATCTCACAAATGAAAATGCTATATTTTTAAAGTAGTGACATTTTTAAGTTCATATTCTTTAAAGGGACTGAGCCTTAAGAATGAGAGTGCCGATTATCCATTTTGACTCCTCTCATTTAATCATTTCATTTCTGAAATTAGACTTCATCTTACGATCCAAAAAAACCTCACTAGTGTGCATTTTTGGCTGTGTTCATTCCCTTTGTCATCAAATGGAAGCTAGCCTAAATTTTCTAATAATTTCTCATCACATTAAAATTCACGGCAAACATAAAAATGAGAGCATTTTGAACTCAAGTGCATATAGCTTATATGGATGCTTTTCCCCCTCTCCCCTCCACCTAAGGAAATAGAGAAATTGAAATTAGAAGTGAGGGAAAGCAAGCAGCACTTGGAACAGGAACAGCAGAAGGCAGCCCGGGCCAGAGAGGAGTGCCTGAAACTGACAGAGCTGCTGAGCGAATCCGAGCACCAACTGCACCTCACCAGGTACTCCCTAATCCCATTACGCGCCAGAGCCCCAGTGCCATCCCACTGATTTTTGCCACCGGCTTCCAAACAGTTGTTAGAGTTAGTCTTAGTCACTCAATTCACACACAGCTTTCAGGCATATTAAGAAAAGTGGAGATGTGGTAAGCAAAACACCCAGACATGTGAATGATAAGTGTGGCAGGGAATTACTGATAGATTACAAAACCTTTCATCTACAATGCTCAAATATTTAGGTGGTTCTCTACCAATAGGAGCAACATGACATATTTCTCCTACCACCACCACTACCTCTCCTGTTAATTCTGTGTCTAATAAAAATGTTGAACTGAAAGATCTGAGGGATATATTTAGGAAAAGAATCAGATACTGTCAGTAGTGAATGAGACAAAGTAAAAGGCATCCTCAGATGCAAACTGAGACAGAACAGAGAGAAAATAAGGAACCTGAGTCCTAAGGAGGTATAGAATTGAGTGATGAAATTGATTGACACTGTTCACATTCAAACCGTTATTATAACCATGCTCTTGTGGTTTCGAATTACACGGTTTCTGTCACAAGATAATGCGATGTGATTATCAGTGTCCTACAACTTTAGGGAACATGTAGCTCAGCTCTAGGTGACAAGGAGACATTTTAGGTAGCAAGCACTGTATAATTTGCTGTGTGGAAAAGACACACATACATACACACACACACACACACACGCATGCATATACACAAATGCACATACACAGAGAAAATTCAAATAGAGGTTGCAGATATTTCATGTTACCATATAAGTGGTTTTTCTCACTTTGGGTTTTAGTACATTTTCATGTTTCAGATCAAGCGTTTGGGTTTGTTCAGTTCTTAAGAGTTTTTTGGTTTTTATGGAGAACTTTCTCTAAATACACATGTAAGTTTATGAGCCTTGGTTTGGTTCATAAATTAGAAAAATGCTGATCTTCTAATCATAGTAATATGTTGAATTTAAACTATGAAAGGGGACTGATCCCTTTTACATTAAATATGACAATGTAATTCTGAGCACGGTATGATAACAGATGGAGAAAAGCACCACTTGAACAGCCTGCATTTGGAGAAAAAAATATTCTAGAGGTTGGTGAACCTCCCAAAGTTTTGGGTTAGTGTTAAGATGCCTCTAGTTCTGTTAAAATCAAACTTTGTTGAAAACATTTTGTTATGATAATATTCCAAATGGTTTGCCAACTTCCCTTTTTAAACCGTGAAAGAGAAAATGAGAAGAAAGAAAAAGGGAAAAAGCCAGAAAGAAAAGAAATCCTTTATACACATGTGATATCTGGAAAAATCCCAAGAGATAAAACACTTTTATGAGAAAAAATTGCTTAATACTGTAGAATAATAATGGTTCTTTTAATGCTCATTCAAGGTATTGTCTTGTAGAACCAAGAACATAATGTTAACACAGTTCCAATGGATTATTTAATCTCAGAAGTTTCGAAATTTAGCTTTATCATGATAGTTAATAGTTTTTCTTCTGTCAGGCTTCTGTTGGGAAACAATCATTTGTGTGCTAAGCACTACTAAACCACAAAAATAGGACAGCTTTCAAAGTCTCAGTGTGTCTGAGCTTCGGTAAATAAATATTAATTCTGGTTTTGTCCCCTTTGCCATTCTGTCTTATTCAGAGAGTTAATTTCTGAAGTCAGGGTCCTACAGGGAGTTTTCCTGTGCAGTATCAATTTGTACTGTCTGACAAGACCAGTTTCTTGCAAATAGAGCGTATTTGAGGTACAGCAACTGCTGAAAATGGACCAGTGGTAACTAATTCCTTTGTTCTTGAGAAAAACGGGTTTGCTTGGTTCCATAGAAAGCTTTTTCTGTTGAGCTTTATTTACAGCGAGTCTACAAAAATTGAAAACTAGTTTTAGGGAAAATAAAAATTACCCATTTTCTAAGTGCAGTACTCTTTTGTAAGCATTTTACATTTAGTCTCTGTTCCTGTTCTATAAAATCCACATTCATAAATTTAAAGATGACAATTAAAAATGCAGAGAACCGTGTGTAGCTCTCTTTTGCACTGAAAATGTGTCTTGGTTGTTGGGCTAAATATTTCTGATATACTTCTTTGTTTTTTTTTAGAGTTTGCTTTTCCTCGACAGTCTTTATTGATTCAGTATACTCAAGTGTGTGGCTGAGAAACATTATGTCTTTCTTTCCCTGTGTAGACCAGCCGAAATAAATAAATCCCACACAGGTAGCTTAGTGTTAACGTAAATATTTCGAATGACATAGTCTGCACAAAGTTTAAAATTGAATATGAAAACCATGTTATAAGTAATGATGAAGTAAGGATGCGGATCTCCCAGGGCAAAGAAAATTTAAAAACTGGAGTATTGATTGTAGATCAGTCTGAAAGAAAAATAAGCTATCGTTTGTCTGTTATTTCCCTTTATTGTCTAATTAGACTTAAAAATGGAAAATGGAGGGGCGCCTGGGTGGCTCAGTCGTTAAGCGTCTGCCTTCGGCTCAGGTCATGATCCCAGGGTCCTGGGATCGAGTCCCACATCGGGCTCCCTGCTCGGCGGGAAGCCTGCTTCTCCCTCTCCCACTCCCCCTGCTTGTGCTCCTGCTCTCGCTGTCTCTCTCTGTCAAATAAATAAATAAAATCTTTTAAAAAAAAATGGAAAATGGAAAATTAGACTTAAAAAATGGAAAAATGCCTGGCTGGCTCAGTTGGTGGAGCATGTGATTCTTGATCTTGGAGTTGTGAGTTTGAGCCCCATGTGTGGGCATAGAGATAACTTTAAAAAAATGGAAAATAGAAATACAACATTTACTGAAAGGCCCAACTGGTAAGAATAACATTCACCCACTCAACAAATATTTATTGAGCACCTACTATCTTTCAAGTACATTGCTTGGTCTTGGGTAGGGAGAAAACCATCAGATTCAGTTCTTCCCCGTAGGGCTGTGCTCCTGAGCCAGCTCCATGTGTGCAGTTATAATCAAGTGTGAGAGTACTGCAGTGATAGAAATAAAGTTACCACAGGAGCACAGAGGAAGGAGAATTGGCGTACTGTGCATTGGAAACAAAGATGATGGGGAAAGCTTTCTGGAGGAGGAGATGTTTGGTAGCTATTTGGATTAATGAGCTCTTAAATAGCAATTCTCAGTGTGGAAGAAGGTGGAGTGGGTACCCTGGGTGGATGGAGCAATATCTACAGAGACACAAAGATGGGACGGAACATAAACTCTACAATCAGGTTAGGTGTTTGGCAGGGGATAAGCCTGGAAAAGGCAAACAGGGATCAGAGGAAGGGCCTTGTGGTCCATATTCTGGAGTTTTGGCCATTCTGAGAGTCATGGTTTACTCTTGATATATTTTAAGCAAGGCTGTCAACATGATCACATCTTTGGGTCGGTATTCTGACTCAACAGCATGGAGAGTAAACTTGGAGAGCTGATGTAGGAAACAGGAAGACCAGTTAGGGCAGAGTCAGCAACTACAGCCAATAAATATGGCCTGTTGTCTCTTTTTATCCATGAGCTAAAAATGGCTTTTATATTTTTTAAATAGCTGGGGAAAACAAACAAACAAACAAAAAAACGTTTTGTGACACATAAAAATTATATACCTATAAATAAAGTTTTATTGGACACAGACATGATTATCCTTTATGCATTATGTATTGGGGCTATCATGGCAGAATTGAGTATGGTCCTCAAAGCCTTCAAGTATTTATCGCCTGGCCCTTAACAGAAACAATTTACCAACCCCTCAGTTAGGACGCTGTGTAATTCAAGTAAGAAGTCAAGAGAGCTTGAACTTTAAGGGGTTCAAATATGTATTTAAAGAAGGTAAATGAAGGGTAATTGAAGACAGATTGCCTGAGGAAAAGATGATTGACAGGGCCCCTGATTAGAATATAAGCCCCAGTCCAGGGGGTGGTAATGAAGTCCTGGACTATGGCTTTGCCTGTAAAATGGAAGGGAAATTTTAAGAGGCATTTAGGATAGCAAAAGAGAGAGGCCAGAATTAAAGGTGACACCAATGTTTCTAGCCTACGTTAACTGGATGAGCCATTAATTCCAGTAGGAGACTTAAAAGGAGTAAGAGAGGGAAATAATATACCGTGTTTTGGGGCTTGGGTGGAGATGTGCAGTGTAGGTCCAGTTTGAGGAAAAAGGTCAAGACCTGAGGCTCTTCATTGGATGCTTTTACATAAAGCTACTAGTTGTAGCCAAGGAAATGGGTGAAAGCATGAGAGGGCCATGCTCTTAGAGTAGGGGGGTGGAGAACCACCAGCCAGGGAGACCAAAGGAGTCGTCAGTGCCTAAGAAAAGAATATGGAATGATGTAACAAAGCTTTTCTTAGGGGAGTCCCCAGGCTTCCGGGTGTTGAGGAAGCCGAGTTCTAGCATCTTCTCCTGGGCATTCGCCATCTTTGCAATTTTGACACATTACTTAATTCTTTGAACCTGCTTGCTTACCTATAAATGAGGCTACAACCTGATTTCTAAGTTTCCTTCTAGCTCTGATCATCAATGATCCTAATGGTGATTGAAGACATCCCATGATGAAGTGCCCATTTCCTGATATTAGGCATCTAATTTGCTGGGAGTATTCTTTGTTTAAGATGTTTTCTTAGGGTGCCTCTGGGTGGCTCAGTTGGTTGAGCATCTGACTCTTGATTTTGGCTCAGGTCATGATGTCAGGGTCCTGAGATTGTGCTCTGTGCCGGGCCTTGCGCTCAGCAGGGCGTCTGCTTGAGATTCTCTCTCCTCCCTCTACCCCTCCCCCACCCTCCTCTCTCTAAAATATATAAATAAATTTTTTAAAAAAATGTTTTCTTAGTTTGAACTTCAGAGAGATTTTGTGGAGGTGTCCTTCAGACCTACCATTTGCATTCACCCTAAGGCTCTGCTGACCATTCACAAGGGTCATGGACCCTTCCAGCCTTTTTCACCAGGTATTGCCAATTGAATATTCCTAAGCACTGCCTTGACTCTCTCACCTGCTCCTGAAACCTTCC